TTGCTCTCCCCTGTAAGTGGGACATTCACCAAGACAGACCGGAGGCCGGATCATAAAACAAGTCTCAGTATACTTCAAACGGTTAACATCGTATAAAGAATGCGCCCTAGTCAAAACAGAATTATACTTGACATAAAAAACACAGGAGATACCTAGAGAAATCTCAAAATTAACGGTCTGGAAATTAACAGACGTTTAAAAGTCCTCTGGGCAAAGCGGAGCTCCGAGGGGGATCAGAAACGACGGCAAATTGAAGGGGTTGTCATGTTCCCGTTCTCTCCCAGTAGCAGAGTGACCGACTGTCCCAGGGCTGTTCCGGTCTCAGTACTGAGAGTCCCGTGTCCTGATAACCTCCCCAGTCCGGGGCAACCCAGGAAAGCTGGTCATGCAGTTAAGTATTTGGGTTCAGACTACGAGTTATTCGGTCATCCTAAGTGTAGGGCTTCCGTCTCTCTCTCCTTTCCCCAGCTATCTTGAAGTATAACCGACAAATACAAAGTCTAGATGGTTAAGGTACGTGAATTGATGCGTTTGTATATATGCACTGGTATATATCCGTTGATATATGTGTGCATGGTGAAATAATCACCGTAATCAGGCTAATTGGTGTACCTCACATAGTTACAGTTTCAGGTCTTCAGTTTAAGTCTTTAGCTCATTTTGAGTTGATTGTTGCATAGGGTGTGAGTGAGCGAAGGGTCCAGTTTCACGCTGTTGCATGTGGATGTCTTGTTTTCCCAACATTTATAGAAGAGACTGTCTTTTCCCCATTGTATGCTCTTGGCCCCCTTGTTGGAGATCAGTGACTGTCAAGGCTTGGGTTTATTTTCTGTTGTTTTATCTTTTTCATTTTTATCTAAGCGTATGAAAATATTTGTTTAAATGACACTGGGTGTGATACTTGGTCCTGGGTCCTAGGTACTCAGTTCTTGAGAGAGCTCTGCACTTGGTTCTGGGTGCTCTGTACCTAGGGGCTCTGTCGTGTTTCTCTGGGGAGAGGTTTGGGGTTCTCTTTTCAGATAGTTGGCGCTGAAGCGATGCTTCGGTGCAGGTAATATCTGTACCTACACACTTTGAAATCAATTCCAGAAGCTGAGCCAAGGGTTAATTAAACACAGCCAACGAGATGGAAATTTGTGAACCCCGAGGGCAACAGTTACTTAAGCACAGATTCTGTTTGTTTATCGAGGAGATGAACAGACTTTATGGGGAAGGTGGGCTGTTTTTAAAAGGGTGGGAAAGGTTTGGAAAGGTAATTGTCTTCCTTATACCTGCCTTACTTCTTAGGCACAGACAATTCATTCCCTTGCTCAATTCCAATTTGAAAGATCTTAGGGGAGAATTCTTCTGGGTCTCGCTTGGGTTAGGTGACCCCCTCTGACTCTATCAGCCACAGTCATGAGAAAGGTGATTGTTATTAATAATGCTGTCTATATATGAATAGCTTTTTAATTAGCCAACAGACTGACATTTCTAATTTCTCTGGAACCACTAGCATAGTAAGTTCATACTGGACTTGCCGCCAGCTAACACCTCACAGCTTCCCTCCCTTTCCCCATCGCCTGCCCCCAGGCTAATTCACAGCAGATCAACTTGCTCAATGGCCATTGTCAACTCACCACATGGACTAGAAGAATAAAATAAAAAGATAAAATAAAACTGGGTGGTTTTAACTTACCCATTTTCCCTTTGTCTTCATCGAAGTATTTTAGGAAATGTTCAGAGGAATTTTAGGAAATGTTCAGTTTATCTTTGCTTTCACTTCCTGTTGCGGAAGCCAGAAAGACCCATGGGGAGGGCAAGAGAGATAGAGATAGAGAGAGATAGAGAGAGAGAAGACCCAGAGAGAAGGAGGGAAGATGAGGAGACATGAATATATTCATAAGAACATTCATAAGACTGTAGCCTTAAGATGACACATTCATTGAATATAATTAACTCTCTCAAAAATATATTCAAGAAAAAGATATGTGCAGAGCATTCTTGAATAGAAAGAATTCTGCTCACTATGTTCTTCTTTTGAATAATAATATGCTAATGAAAAATTTATTCGTAAGAACCTTTATATTCAAGATAATCTCAGGACGATATTTTCTTGGGTCCCTCGGTCTCTCCCTTTCTGTGTCCCTAAGTCTTATTAACTGCTTTTCCCTTTTTCTTTTTTAAATCCTCACCTGAGGATATTTTCCCATTGATTTTTAGAGAGAGTCGAAGAGAGAGGGAAAGACAGAGAGAAACATTGATGTGAGAGAAATACATCGATTGGTTGCCTCCTGCACGAGCCCTGACCAGGGCCCAGGCTGGGGAGGAGCCTGCAACCCAAGTATGTGCCCTTGACCAGAATCGAACCCAGGGCCCTTTGGTCTGCAGGCCAATGCTCTGTCCACTGAGCCAAACAGGTTAGGGCTTAACTGCTATTCTTCTGTTGTTTTAATCTAAATGGCCTCAGTGCCTTCAACCTGGTCTTTCATCCATTTGCACATCTTGTCACATACACACTAGTTTGCCCTGTGTCCTTCCACACTGACTCCAAGTCTGGCTGAGTCTTCATAAGTGAGATAATGAACAGTCATTTCCTTACACTCACACCCTATACTACCCATCATCATCATCACCACTACCACTAACGTTGTCTAAATATGTGTTCATTTTCTTGACAACTACCCCTGACTGTGAGTTCAGTCTGGGCTTGCACACAGATACCACCCCCACCCCCCTGCCACCACCACC